AGAGAAGGAAATTAAGGGCATCCAAATGGGGGCAGAAGGAGTCAAAGCATCACTCTTTGCTGATGGTATGATCTTATCTAGATAACCCCATAGATTCTTTCATGAAACTACTATAATTGATAAACAAATTCAGCAAAGTATGAGGTTACAAAATGAATGTACAAAATCAGTAGCATTCCTATACACCAACAACAATCAAACTGAGAACCAAGTACCCTTCACAATAGCAACAAAGAAAATAAAATACCTAGGAATATATTTAACTACGGAGGTCAAAGACCTCTACAAGGAGAACTACAAAACATTGAGGAAGGAAATAGCAGAGGATATGAACAGGTGGAAAACCATACCATGCTCATGGGTGAGCAGAATCAACATTGTTAAAATATTTATACTACCCAAAATTATCTGCACATTTAATACAATCCCTATTAATTGTAGATTTTTAACATTTCATTTAATGCTGCTGGTCTTTTTCTTCCATTAACATATAGATAGATTCTAAACTTTTCTTAGTATGTGACAAAGGCTCAGCAAAACAAATATGTTCTTATGAATATCTTATGAATATTGAAATATCTTACACAAATATTTTTATGAGCATTATTAAAGCTCAAAATTTTGATATGAAAATCAGATAATGGTGACTTAAAAAGAAAAATATGACTAACTGATGTCCTTTGTTAATGTTTATTTTGTTCTGTTTTGTTTTAAGCTACTCTGGTGCACTAAGAAAGAATGAAATGAATGCACAATGCGAACATTTAAAATAAATGCTTTCCCAAGGAGAATGATGGCCACTGGGGGCCAGAAGTTCGCAGGGAGCGGTTAGGGAGAGCAGCTGGATTTCCTGAGGAGTCTGTATGTGTGCTTCTTCCACTACTGTCGCCAGGTCTTGTTGGAGCACTATTCTTTACTCTAGCCCAGCAGGGTCAAATCTAAATCACTGTGATTTCCAGTGCTCTTCAAACCTAGGTATTTCTTTCAATCCATAAAAAAAAAGAAATCTTGGGACAGCTCATCCTTATGGTGGTAGCTACATACCAATGACCTACACTAGCCTGTCATGCTTAGTTATTCTTAGAGACTACTTAAACTGAGTAAATAAAGATGTTTGCTTAGCAGGCTTGCGAGCCCTTCAGCTGGAAGATAGGAGTGTGCAATACTTAAAGTCAGTGAATACTTTTTTTTTTTTTTGCAATACTTAAAGTCAGTGAATATACTTAAAGTCAGTGAAAATGTGCAATACTTTTTTGTGCAATACTTAAAGTCAGTGAAAATGGCATGCGATTTCTGTACTATGCTTCCTAGGTTTGCTATATGCTCAACATCTGGTCAAACATGGATATGAAAAAAGCCATCAGCTATAGCAGAAAAAATATGTCCTATGACAATGGGCTGACACGGGGAACTGGACTTGAATCTCATGGAGGATCTATTTTTTGTGGCATTGCATCACTATGTCTGATGGGTAAACTAGAAGTTGTTTTCTCAGAAAAAGAATTCAACTGGATAAAGAACTGGTATATAAGGAGGCAATAAAATACTTATCCTAGAAGACCTAATAAGCTTGTAAACACCTATTTTTCATTTTGGGTGGGAGCAATTCTAAAGCTTTGGAAAATTTTCCAGTACACTAACTTCGAGAAAAACAGAAATCTTATCACCCCAAGATCGCCTTGTGTAGGGATTTGCCAAGCAGCCTGACAGTCATCCAGAAGCTTTGCATGCATACTTGGGGATCTGTGGCCTGTCACTAATGGAGGAAAGTGGAATTTGTAAAATTCATCCTGTTCTGAATGAAAACAAACTGACTTCTGAATGCCTTCTAAATCACCATCAAAACTGGAAGACTGAGGACCCTAAACAATGCTCAGAGAGTGTGCTTATCTCCACATGACTGACTTTAGATCAGGAGGGTGAAATGATTTGTAGCAAAACTGTAGCTCAAGGTTAAAAACCATAGATAACCAAGCGCGCACCTTTTTTTTAAGAGGTAGAGTCTTATAATCAAATGGCATACCAATACTATTATGGGATATAGTTTTGAGCCAGTAATCTTTGTACTGGGCTTCAAGAAAATCTTTTTACAGTTTGAACCATTACTATTATGGTTCTTAACTGTTTATACTATATTTCTAAAGAAGTCACTTGAGGCAAAATAGCAGTGTGTATGGGGGTTCTCTTTTTAACAACTCTTCAGTACAAACTGTATCTCATTTTTAAATGGACACAAATCTTCAAAACACGTTTATACTTCATATAGCAATGATAATCTTCAAGTGAATGCTTAGTGATCATTCAAAAAGCTTGACTGCTGATAGTACAAAATTTGTTTTAATGAATTATCTGTGATTATGCTTTGAAAACAGATGATCCTATAATTTTTTAAAGGAAAATTATTTATTTTGCCTTATACTTAAGTAAAGTGTGTCTATTAAACTTATGTGGCCTATATAAATGAAATTAATAACTTCATAGTAAGAACAATCAGGTTAACTAATATGATAGTTTTTGAAAGGAAGTTTGCTTTAAGAGGGCTATGATGTAACAGAGGGAAAAGTAACTTAACTATGTATGATTGTGAATGAGAAAGTTTTGTGCTGGATGGGTCATTTTAACATTGCTGTGGTGAATACCAGTTACATTTTATTTTATTTATTTATTTATTTTTCAGCATATTATGGGGGCACAAATGTTAAGGTTATGTATATTGCCCTTGTCCCCCACCCCCAAGTGTCAGAGCTTCAAGCATGTCCATCCCTCAGGTACATTTGATTTTAATCTCAAATCATTAGTTGCCTTTTATTTTTTTTATTTTTATTTTATTTTTTTTTTTGCTTTCTGGAGAGAAAATAATATTCATTATCTAAAAGGAAAAACATATAATGCTTTCATTTTTATGAGCTATATGGTATTGTAAATTATAGCTGTACTTTTATCACTCAGTTATTTTTAGCCATTTGATTTTTTTCTTTTTTTAGTTTGTTGCCCTGAGTGTGTGATAGCTGCTCTAATTTCAAACTTATAATTTTCTAATCTTTTTAAATTAAAAAAGTAAAAAATTAAATACAAAAATAGAACCACTCAAGTATATTTAGTGCTGCAGCTCTATACATGGTCTTTTATATTTTTACATTTTCAGGTAAGTAGAAGGGAAATATAACCATGTAGAGGGTAAGGACTGGCGTTTTATTTTTGTTCATTGTATTATTTGCTTTATAAGTCTATGAACTAGCTAATTATAAAGGAGAAAGTGTATAAACTCCTCATTGGTAATCAATTTATGAATAAATCACATCCATCACTTGCCCAGTAACATTCAAGGATATCAGTCTAGTACTGAAATGGAGGAAGGAATCTCCCTACTAAAGGAGTTGGGCTTAAGTTAGTCTTGGTGACAATAAATGTTGAATTATTTATTCTACAAGCATCTATAAGCATAAAAACTAAATTACTGGTATCACTGTTTAGGTATTATAATATTTAAAGGTTATTTTCCTTCCTAAATTGGAGAAAAAATATTCTAAAATAACAGTCCTTCCCAAGGGAAATTCTATGTACTTGGAGAAATTATTCATTTATTATTGGCATGCTTAGTTTTAAATCTGAATTTGCCAAAATCAACTGTATTTTTTTAATTAAAAATAAAATAAATCATCTGATGGTGGAGCTAAAATAAGCTTAAAAATAAGATAAAATAAAATAAGTGTTTTTCATAGCCCCTTCATAAGAAAGAGAGATCATCATTGTGCCTTTAATATAAAAGATATTTTTTAAAAGATATAAACATGGCTCTTATACAAATATAAAATCAATGCATGATAAAGACTATATTTAACTCAGTAAATGAGGAAACCAGTAAGATGTTACAACTTCCTCAAAAAAGAATTAAAAATGCTCCCATATATAGGCAATCTGGAATTCTAAAATAAATTTACATATAGATACAAAACTGTTCACCATCTATAGTACAATAATCAATGGTAGTACACCTGACATATTTCATTTATATTTCTCCAAGCAAAAATCACTTGCATTGTCATCAGTTTTCCGAAAATAGCTCTCAAAGAAAACAAGCAAACATAGCTGAGAAGTGTGCACTAGACAAAAGGCCCAGAAATTATGTCCGCCTATTTCAAGGTCTTTCACAATTTTTCCTGACACTAAAACCTTTCCTTAAAAGTCTTCTTAAACTTCTTAAACTTGTGTCCTAATTAAAGCAGAAATAAACATTGTTAGTTTTCCAAAACTATCAGTGGTGGTGGCCTGGCACTTTATGACTCACACAGAGTTCATTATGTTGGAAGAAAAAAGTAGCTCCCTATAAGTATGAAAGAAGACAGGATTTGGGGAGTTTCCAATAGGGATAGAAACAAGGGTTTCTAGGAGAAAAAGCAATGGTTGCTGATGGAGTAGGAATCTTCACAGTATGATGTTGAGAGAAGAGACAAGAGATCTATGCTTGAGCATGTGTCCAAAGAGAGCATGGCAGTGAAGGACCGCACCACCCCCTGCAGAGCAGCAGACTCCATATGGAAACGCCAGTGACGAGCTCTTGGGGTAGGTGACAATGAAGTAGTATGGATTCCAACTCCTATAAGCTAGGAATTAGCTCTACTCCTAGTTTCCCAGACCTATGTAAGCCCAGATCTCTCAAATGGAAGAAAGGATCCTACAAATGCCTGATACTGGATTTCTGGTCCAACCTCAGAACTCAAGCTTCAGTGCTGGATATAACTTGATTTGTAAAAGTTAAGTAATGTGACATTTTTGGAAAACAAATATAGTATAACAAATCCATTCCCACTATAACAGTATACTAGTTAAGCCTTTGGTTAATGGCATTACAACAAAAGATTATTTGTTCTTGCATTTTACTTTTATTTTCAAGGCTGATACAGCATAGAATTTCTTACTTTGGGAAAAAAAAGATCAGAAATATATTAACACATATAATTATTAATATGTTAGAGAATATATGTGATAAGTTGTTCCCTAAAGCCCTCAGAATTTTAGGACTTTGTTATTTATTTCAAGATGAGATTTTAGTAGTCTGCTATGAAATCCAATGACGTTTGTGAATGAATGAGGTTTGCCTTACCAGTATGTAAAATTTTAATCAGTTATACTTCCACCAAAAGAGATTTTTACTCTAAAAGAGCCAATACATTCATTTTATAGATATTTCAGAAAACAAACTGAGTTATCAGCATAACATAAACCCCTTAGTAGATCATAACATCATTCATATCTGTTAAAACACTCAATTATTGATCCATGTATCCATTCAACAGATATTTATCTAGTGAATTTTAGGTGCCAGACAATGTTCTGGGAAGGTAGCAACAGCAAAGTCCCTGTTCTCAGAAATCTATTATTTCAATGAAAGGAGAAAAACGTGGAAATAAATTATATGGAAAAAATTAAGAATGCAAAGGGTATACAAATGCCAGGTGACGGAAAATGAAATTTATTGAAGCCATCAGGGGAGGATTTAATGAAAAGATAATAGTCGAGCAAAACTCTACAATTGCGGAATCAAGATACCATATGCAGATTGCTAGGCAAAGATATTTGCTACAGAGGGATAAAAAAGCAAAACTACCAACAATACCAACAAAACAACATTTACCCTGAGGAAGTAGCATTGAGCATATCTGGAATATTTAGGAAAAGCACAGAAGTAAGCATGGCAGGAGCCAGCTGAGAGGAGAGAGCAGCAGGGGTGAGGTTAGAGAGGCCACATCAGGCGTCATATTGTGTGAGTTATTATATAGACTTCACATGGAATGGAAAGCCATCTCACATAATAGATGATAGTAACAGTTTAATGCCAAGACTGCCAAACATTTACACAGGCATAATGTCCATTTATTGCATTTAAATTTGGTAGTTATAAAATATTAACTTGCAGCATAAAATTTGCAAGTTATTAAATAGCACTGTATGTTCAATTGCTGTAACTGAGATCTAAATATCAGCAGTTAAAACAAATAAATGTTTATTTCTCCCTTGCATAAAAGTCTAGACATAGGCTAACGAGGGCTGGCGAGACATGAATAGTATCAGAGTTCCAACTTCCTTCTAACTTCCTCTCTGCCATCTCCAGTATGTTGTTCTTGTCAACATGGTCTGGAATGAGTCATAACCACATCACTACTCTAGTGAGTGGGGAAGAGAAAAGGAACATGGGAGGTTATGCCTTTCTATATAGCTATAAGGGCACAACCAGGCAGTTGTACACATCATTTTTCCTATTCCTAGTGAAGATTATTTCAGCTCTCCCTCTCAGTACATGTAACTGAGAGGGAGAGTTAAAATTAGGGGGTCTATTACTAGAGAAGAAAAGGATAATGGATATTTGGGAACAATTAGAGTCATCTGGTTTAAGCAGATTCAAATAACAATTTTATCTTAAAATATTTTAAACATCCTTAAAAACAGTGTGATATCAAAGAAAGAATATCTGACAAAGGGCCAAAGGATGTTGGTTCTATTCCAGATCTATTAGGAACTAGCTGTGCAACCTTGAATCGGTCACTTAACTTCTCGTATATTCAGTATGTCATCTTTAGTATTGGACTGAAATTATTCAGCTGCACCTAAGCAAAAGATTCTCCCTAAAACTTTAGAAAAGTCAATTTTATCAAATGCATAGTAATTCTGAAATACTGAAGCCTGTACAATGATACGAAAACTCAACAGCAGAAAGATCTGGCCTCCAGCCCAAGGCACACCAGATGTATCTCTTAAATGCCAATATCAATAGTCTTTATCTTTGAAAACTTAAAAAAAAAATTTCAAGGTGAAAGTAATTTGTTCCACCTCTGTCCAGATGGAACTCTGTGATTGCCACAGACAGGGCACAATGACCTGGCTGAATGCACCATAGGATAATCAGCTGACATTCTGAGGTCACGCTGATAAGCCAGCCAGATAACCTTCCAGCACAGAGATAAGAAATGAACGGTTTGTTTTTGTATGGCCAGTGGATCTGGTTGCCACAGTATTCATTCATGAAAAGCCTTTGGTTGCAATGTGCACAGAACTAAAGAAGTGTTTTATTCGGGTTTACCAGTCACAGCAAATGCTGACATTTGTTCATTTGTTGGATCTTGCTGGGATTTTGTTTTCTTCATTGAACACATTTCCTCATAGCCCATTTGTGGTTCCAATATTTTACCACCAGCTTTCCAATGCTAGGAGAACATTCGTTCATAGGGCCAAAAGCAGTCATGCCGAAAGTCAGGTCCTTTCTTTCCTTTCCATGAGTGTAGTGAGCTCTCCTCTGTAAACAGAGAAAGGAAAATTGTCAGTTTTCATGTTGTGGCCAGAATCAGAGTTCCCAGGAAAGTCAGTTAGTCTGAAAAAACAATATCCAGTCATAAAACAAAAAGAAATATTCTAGCATCTACACTAATATTGTAACATAACACATTTTTTTAAGACAGAGTTTCACTCTGTTGCCTGGGCTAGAGTGCCGTGGCGTCCGCCTAACTCACAGCAACCTCAAACTCCTGGGCTTAAGCAATCCTTCTGCCTTAGCCTCCTGAGTAGCTGGTATTACAGGCATGTGCCACCATGCCCAGCTAATTTTATCTATATATATTTTTAGTTGTCCAGCTAATTTCTTTCTAATTTTTTTGGTAGAGATGGGGTCTTGCTCTTGCTCAGGCTGGTCTCCAACTCCTGAGCTCAAACTATCCAGCTGCCTCGGCCTTCCAGAGTGCTAGTATTACAGGCATGAGCCACTATGCCTGGCCATTCTAACATATTTTTAAGAGAAAATAATAAGAAAGAAAAAGAGCTGCTTCACAAAATAAACAGACAAACAAAAATATACAAAAACATCTCTCTACTTAGGTCCTAACAACTGTAATCTAACTGAAATAATTACAGTGATTTGATGCTACACCTTTTGATTTCAATAACTTTTTTTTTAACTTGAGTGAGAAACAAGATTAAAATAAATGATCAAAACACATACTGCTGTACATAATGCAAATATTCTATGGGAGTTAGTGGATGTTGCTTAATGGTTAATCCGACGTTCTGTTTAGAAAGCGAAAACCAGTTATAATGACAGAGCACAAAAAAATAAATTCTCATACCTGCAATAGCAACAACAACCTCCACAGTTAATTTGACAGAATGAGTTTCTGTGGATATGTTTAATAATTGAGCTGCTGAATATACAAAGTTCAATTTATTCATTCTGGTCTACTTCACACAATGGGGATTGAGTCGCTGGAATAAAATTCGGATGCTTTCAATCTCAATATGTCTTTCTTTTATAATTTTTTCTTTCTTAAGTCAGGCATTTGGTAATATGCCCTGAAAAAAAGAAGATGAAATGTCAGTGCACAGCAAAACCTTTCAGGGCCTAAAATTATCATCCTTGCTATAGTCACCTTTGTTATGGATGCTTTTGTAAAGTGGGGAATAGTTACTCCCTCTTTAAAAATAAATCTTCAAAAACAACTTTTGGCATCTGAACCACAAAAATAGTTGTATTTAGTAAAAAGATCATTTACTTTAGAGTCATAAAACTAGCATTTGTATCATGGCTCCATCATTTTCTCAATGACTCAGTGATTCAATGAATATATAAACATACGTATTATATATGTACACAAATTAACTGTCATGTTTAATAAACAAATATTAATTTTTCTTCCAACTTTAACATGAACTTTAACATAAAAGACACCATGGTACACTAGTTTAGGAGCATGGACTCTGGCGCCAGATTGCTTGGGTTTGAATCCTGGCTCTTTTAACTTTGTATCTCCCTGTGCCTTGATTTCTTAGTCTGTAAAATTGAGATAATAATAGTATATACTACTCAGAGTTGTTATGTGGGTAAATGGAATTTATTCATCTGTCCTAGGGAGAGAGGACCTAGAAGTTCATCAGTCAGGGAGGAAGCTGCATGGAGTACCAGCCTTTAGCCCACACATCCGAGCCATGCAGGGCAGATGACACTTGAGCCTCCCTGCTAGTCATGGACCAATGCAATGCAGGGCAGAGCTTAGCCCCCAGGAGGGAAAGGGCTTGAGCATGAGACCACCAGCAGGGGTCAGCCGGAAAACAAGGGCTAACAATACCAGAGTGAACAGCTTGGGTCTGAATGAATACCACCGGAAGCGGCCCTATTGTGACCACTGCCCACACAATCTGAGCCTTAGACAACAATATATATTACTCCTCTTCTCCCTCCCACCCCAATATGATAAGCATAAGTACTGGGAAGGAATTTTGTGAATAAATTACTATCTCACCCTTGAAGGGCTCACAACTAGTTGGTAAGACAAACATGCAAACTGAGCAATATTGTACAATTAACTGGAGGACTGACTTCATAATGAGATATTATTTGTGTTGAGTCCTGAAGGATGAGTATTCTCCAAGCAGGCAAGGGAAAGAAGTGAATTTAAAGGTAATATCTAAGGCAAATGTCAGAGAAAATTCTCAGAGGCATAAAAGTAAATAATATGTTCCAAAAAGAACATTTAATCATAATTATGGGCACCAGGGGAGGGAAGGGTGAGAAAGACGTGAGAAGGAGACAAGAAAGAGGCACTCCAGGATGGAAGGTAGAAAGAGTCCCATGCTGGGCATTGAAGGCTTTCCCTTTATACCAAGAGAAAGAGTAGAAAATTATTCTGTAGGAAATTAGAAACCAGTAAGTGTTTAAAAACAGCAGAGTGTGGCATGGTCAGAATAATATCTATGTATCACCAATGGTAATAGGGAAAGTGCGCAGGGGAGGAAAAATTGTGCATAGAAAGGAGGTTCAGTAAAACGGACCATAAGAACTGTGTCCATGGCAGTTATAGTTTCCAAAAAATGAACTGCAACCAAAAGGAGTGGGAACTTTTGAGTCTCATGAGCCATAAATTCTCTTCCTTAATTTCTAAAATAAACAAATCAATTGGTAGGGCATGATTTTAAGAAGGATATTTGAAATAAGAAATTTTAAGAAAGGAAATAAACAGCACTATAGGGTTGCAAGGGAGCATATATAGGTACATTTTACTAGACCAGAAATCTCTCCAGGCATTAAGTAAGCATCACAAACCATTAATTTTATGATTGTCTACTGGCTGATTTGCTGCATTCATACATGCATACATACATACTGAAATGGAACTGACTACACAAATACCTCAAAAACATGTGATGCTGATAAGTAAATACGATCATTTGCTAGGGGTTCAACTCCATATTGACCTGACTTTAGCTCTCTTTTTGACCCTTTCTTCTTTTCCAATTGGAAAAAGAGAAAAATAAAGCAAATGAGCCACGATTATTGGCAAAGCATATTTAAGATAAGGTCTTCCAAGTTCAAAACTAAAAATGCAGCAGCTGTTTGCACAAAACATGCATGACCAAAAATCCTGAATGATTAAAAATCCTGCATGACTGACAATATACCTTTGCTTCTGGCCTCACAATCCCTGACCAGGATATTGATTTCAGCAGCTGTCAGCTAACCCTAGAAGGAAGGAGGTTTCTTCTCACTATAGGGGAGAGGGTCCCCAAAAGAGAAGGATTTAGTGTGCATACTCAATAATGGCAGTACTTGTAAGGGGAAAATCTTTGCATTCAATTAGGAAATCTACACGGAAATGGAAAAGTAATGGTTTCACCGTATGATAGACTAAACACAATGCATCTGCTGAATATTTGGAGAAGCTTCTGACTCCTCTTGCAGAAGAGAGGTCCTGGGGCCCAGCCATGATGTCTGGGACTAGACAATACTGCTTCTTGAGAAGCATGGCATGTGCCTTCCTGGGGCTGGTCACATGAGGTGCCTATGTCTCTGCCATGGCAACAGTGGAACTGGCAGTAGCAAACACTGAAAAAGTGTCTAAGGCAGCACCATCTCTCACATGAGCCTGGCAGCTGTGATGGGTCCAGGCCAGAGGCATTTGTGGACACAGTCCAACAGGGGCAATGGCCACTGTCTGGCAAGGGGGAAGCTGGCACATGGAGAAAACTGCCTAAGGTTCAAAATGTAATGAAATTCCATGGTGGGAACTGCAGTGAACAGCACCAAAGAACACAGCAGTGACTTAGAAAACAAAACCTTGGGGGAGTTGAAAGGCAAATAAATAGTCCTTTTATCTTCCCCATTCAACTTCAAAACAAATAGCAAAAGAGAAAAGTTAGACATGTGGAGATAAAATTATCACACCACTAATAAAGCTTATTGCATAATGGGGCTCAAAATCTGCAGTTAAAATAGACTTGTTTAGACTTCATCCTAAGTTAGACATTGGCACAGTTAGACAACAGCAAGCCTCATCCATTGGGGTAGGTTTGGTAGAGAGAACACCAGAATTTTATGTCCTATGGGAAAACCACATCTGAAAAGTAAAAAGGAGCTGAGCTGGACACATTAGGAATTGAAGAATCTTCCTAATAAAACTACACACTCTCCTACCAACGGTTAAAAATAAGCAGAAAGATAGAAGCTCTCTAACTCACCATGATTTTTTTTCTGTAGAAGAGTGAAGTAGGATTTCTTTCCCCTTCATGGTAACACGGGGGCAATGGAAGTGGGAATACTATTACATTAACTATGATAATAATAGCAACTAATACTATGTGTTTACTGTCTGCCATTATTGTGCTTTGTCAACATTATCTTATTAAACACTCATTACAACTTAATAGGTAAGTATTGTTTTTAAACCTCACTTTTACAGATCAGTATACAGAATCTGGGATTAGGTATTACCAAGATCATACTTATTAAAAGCCAAAGTCTGGAGTCTGTGCTTCAAACCCCTAGACTCTTCTGTCTCTTATAGGTGAAGACTGTGAGTTCCTTCACGCTCCACCAGGAAATGACTGGGTAAGGGTAGAAGTGAGTTCAAGTTCCACGTATTATCAGGCAAGAGAACTGACAAAACACCCTGGGTTTAGTTGTCACGTACTTCCTTGAGATAGTGAGTTCTCTAAACAAATTTTCAGTGCAAAAACATTTTTTCATAGAAGCTTAGAGTTAATTATATCATGTATATGAAATACATAGTTACATATTCTAAGCACATACAAAGCCAAAGCTTGAAATATTAATTTGAGTTGTGATCAACGTACATAAGCCTTGAACTATATCACCCTTTTACCTGTATCTATATCCTTTAAATATTGCTGGTGAAAGACAGCAGTCTGTTTACAAAAGTATGTTCTGTTGTAAATATAGAGCAACATCATGCCATGCCAAATGGAAGTACTTATGCTCCAAGATACTTACATTGCCATCTAACTATGAAAAGCAAACTGAAATATATAATCAGATGATTTAACTTAACACTATTATAATTTTTACCATTTGGTGGTAAAAAGAGAAAAAATCAGATAATTCTGATTTTTTATATGTGATTTGAATGGTTAAATCAGAAATAGAAAATATTGGGATATTTTCATCTCTGTAAATTGCTTCCTATATTAAATGGCCTTCCTATGCTTTTTGGAAACCCCAACTTTTTCTCCATTTGGACCATAATATAGTATATATAATATTCCATTAAATAAACAAGATGTTTAGATGTTTATTTGCATCACCTTTTCCTTTTTGGTACATTAAGATAATAAAATATCAAAATAGCATCCCAAGGGAAGATTAAGTTTGTGACAAAGCTGTCAGTAATTCACTTTGATCTTTAGTGTCCCCAGCTGCCATCCTTGCTATCTCTGCTCTTTCCTTCCTGCTGTTCTACCCTTCTCCAGGTACAGAGAGCTCCCACTTGACCAGATTTCTTCTTTCATGAACAGAAATTATCTAGTTAATAAATTGACATATGTCTCTACATAGAAGTATTTCTGTTTTATGATTAGTCTATAGCATGACTGCAGAGCTTAAACAAGGCAACAGATGGAATTCCAAATACAAATACACGAGATTTACGGAAAGGAGAGTCTTGCAGATTCCCTTAATATTACAGCATCTAAATGACAGCACTAGTCCCACCTCTGAAAATTAAGGCTGATTCCAAGGTTATCAGCTATGAAAAAGGATTGAAAGTTTATAAGTTCTGGAATAAACAAAATAATACAGTCCAGTTGCCCTGAAAATACCTCTCTGTTATCACAGTAGCTTTTATACACAGAGAATTACTAACTAAAATTTCAAAGTTATAAAGTTTCATTTTGTTGTCTTTTACAAATGTACATACGCCTAAGGTAAGTAACATTCTAAGCTTAATAAAGCATCCAGCCAACATTTTCTAAGATACTCCCTTGTGCCTGACCATGAGTCAGGTACAAAGGATACAAAGACATTCATGTAAGGAGCTTAGTAATTAGGCAGGAAGCCAGACATG